AGGGGCAATAACTTTTACAAGTTTCTCTCCAAGCACAGTACATTGTTGTGGATTTTTCAAGAATTTAACTTCCTGTAATTCTTATCTTCTGCCACCTAAGTGACACAGTTTACCAAATAATTTTAAATAGTGGTTAGATTTGGTTAGATTCTCAAGGCGTCCTCTTTGAAAATCATACATTTAATTTCGATGTGGAATTGGCCTCTTTGTTTCTAAGAAAAAAAATACAAAAATACCCTCTTATTGGCCAGGTACAGTGGCACATGCATGTAATCCCAACACTTTGGGAGGCTGAGGCAGTTAGATCACGAGGTCAAGAGATCGAGGCCATCCTGGTGAAACCCCGTCTCTACTAAAAATACAAAAATTAGGTATGGTAGTGCACGCCTCTAGTCCCAGCTACTTGGGAGGCTGAGGCAGGAGAATTGCTTGAACCTGGGAGGCGGAGGTTGCAGTGAGCCAAGATCGCACCACTGCACTCCAGCCTGGTGACAGAGTGAGACTCCATCTCAAAAACAAACAAACAAAAAATGCCCCCTTATTAACACACAATGGATTTCTCATGACCATTATTTCTAGTTATGCACAGTCTTCTTACTATATCAGCAAAATCATTCTGAACTTGTTCCGTTTCTGAGGTAGAAGATAGAAGCCAGCTCAAGATAGATTAAAGACTTAAATTTAAGACCTGGAACTATGAAATGGCTAGAAAAAAACATAGGGAAAACTCTTCAGGACTTTGGTTTAGGCAAATAATTTATGGCTGAGATCTCAAAAGCACAGGCAACAAAAGCAAAAATAGATTAGTGGGATATAGCTTTTGCACAGCCAAAGAAACAACACAGTGAAGAGACAGCCCCTTGAATGGGAGAAAATAACTGCAAATTACTCATCTGACAGGGGACTAATATGCAGAGTACACAAGGAACTCAAATTCCTCAAAAGTAATGAAACAATCCCGTTAAAAATGGGCCAAAGACAGGAATAGACTTTTCTCAAAAGACATACAAATGACTAACAGGTATATGAGAAAATGCTCAACATCATTGATCAGGGAAATGCAAATCAAAACCACAATCAGATATCATCTCACCTCAGAATGGCTATTATTAAAAAGACAAAAAATAACAGATGCTGGTGAGAATGCAGAGAAATGGAAACTCTGTTACACTGTCAGTAGGATGCAAATCAGTATAACCATGATGGAAACCAGTATGGAGGATTCTAAAAAACTTATACATAGAACTACTGTTCTATGTCCAACATTCCCACTACTGGGTATTTATCCAAAGGAAAGAGTTCAGGCCGGGCATGGTGGCTCATGCCTGTAATCCCAGCACTTTGGGAGGCCAAGGCAGGTGGATCACTTGAGGTCAGGAGTTTGAGACCAGCCTGGATAACATGGATAAACCCCATCTCTACTAAAAACACAAAAAATAATTAACCTGGCATTGTGGCACACACCTGTAATCCCAGCTACCTGGGGAGGCTGAGGCAGGAGAATCACTTGAACCCAGGAAGCAGAGCTCGTGGGGAGGCGAGATCGTGCCCCTGAACTGGCTGGGTGACAGAGTGAGACTGTTTCTTAAAAAAAAAAAAAAAAA